TGTAATATGATTCTATATACGTCATATAATAATACGTTATTCGATTCACATCGCGCTTGTAAATCGCAAGTATTGTATGCTGATATGAGGACAATTATGCAGTATGTTACATCTGGCGAATATTATATGTCAGAATTATTGAAGTGTGGATGCATTTGAATGCTCCAATTCCGCTAATTCAATTCGTTAAGTGTCAACATGCGCATGATATTATAATATGCTCGGAGTAATTTGATCGTTTCTTAATTACACGATACTGCACGTTCCTTACGAATTTAAACTGCTTCTCATTTGCTTCTCATTTGCTTATTTTCATCTTTTATTAAGTCTTTGACGATATCTATATTCTTGAGAACATTTAATATGTTCTGCTAGAAATATTTGAAGTACAAAATTGATGTACAAAATATGTTAAAACATATGTAATGATACGTTACGTTTTTCGATAGAAAAACTTTGTAACCGTACTCTTTCTTCTATATAATTTATAAAAAAGAAATATTGAAATATTTTTAATTTAATAATACGAAAAATGGTTTCTGCACAATATACATATTAAAAATAAAAAGAAAACCTGAAAAATAAAAATAAAAAGGAAAATTAATATTAATAAGAAGACAGTACAAAATATATATAATCAAAGAAGAAATTACATAATACTTATATATATATACTATTTTTATATATATAATATCTTCATTTCTATGTCGTTTTCTGCATAAAATCTACAGAAATATACTGATGAGATAGAGATGTAATATGTAAGTATCCCATAGAGGCGTTTTTATATATCCATAAAATCGAACGTTATAAAATACTTTAAAGAACAGTTTACGCGTCTCGTGTGTCAAGAGACTTTCGGTGAAGCAGCGAGTCTAGGTCATTATTTGAATGACACACATAGAGCGCATCGGGATATTATATCAGGAATATGCCGTAGAAATGTAGGTAACTAGCGAAAAACAGAACGCCGCATTATTCTGAAACAAGAACGTTCTGCTTCATATTCCGTACTTGGAACAGTTCTTGAAACGATGTAGAAATCCGAGATGGAAGGTAGCCGCAGCGAAAGCGGCGCGATGAGAAAAAAGGCGCGGGTGGAAAGGGTGACGGGAAGAAAATGGTCGGTGCCGGTTCCTTAACTACTCGCGCAAGAACGAAGGATTGCGCGTTGCCTTCTTTTCTCCCGAACGCGTTTAATTTAGCCTCAGAACGAAAATCGAGCGAGTCACGGTAAACCGACGAACGAATAGATGGTGCACTTACGGGGAGATAAGTGGCAGCGGTGCCGGCTCCTTGTTTGCTAATCTAGAAGAGCACCCCGGGATCATCTGTTGCAAGCTGTTGCGGCGAAGAGCGATCGCTAATGGTGTTAGACCCACGCTTCTCACTCGCCACCCCTTCTCTCTTCTCCCCCTCCTCCCGCTCATCCGATCCGCGTGCGGATACGCGCGTGCACGCACACGAGCCTTACACCCCGTCTCTCTTTGCATACTCCGAGGAGCCGGGACAGAAGGTAATCGATCATCGGCACTCAAACGGAATACCATGATAGCTTTCTACACGCTTTGATCGGTCCGACCGATCCTTTAAGCCCGAATAATAAATGCGAGCAAAATCAACGGTCAGGCGTCGTGGAAGCGTCGATGAAAGATGTGAAAGATGCTATATTTTCAGAAGAGGATTTCCATTGCTACTTACTGCAAAAGGTTCATGTCTAATAATGATATATTAAATGGATTAAAATAAGTAAGATAAAAAGTAAATTATAAAGCGTAAGTATAGAATGTATTTATATATCAATCTTTCCTTATTTTAATAGAATTATATTAATAAGTTCTTATTGAAAGAATGGCTAGAGAAAATATAAAAATATTTTTATCTCAAGACAATATGTAATATAATTTTTCTGCTTTTGGTATCACTCGAGATCAATAACTCTTACATACGAAAGTTTGTAAATTTTCTTTTAACGCATCTGTGTAGAATGCGAATATTCCGATGCAATCGCAATTATCCGGTAATTTAATGTAAGTTCTTACACAAATGAAAGCAGAATTTCAATCTTAAAGTTTTCCCTATGGTTCATTACTCCATACCGTGGCATAAAAGCTACGGAATTACATCGAATATTAACATTGGATTCAGTATGGCCACTTATATCCCCGGGATACATCGGAAACTACTGAGAGGTCAGTAACAAGGTAAAAAAGTTTATGTCGACGTAAAGAAATTATAAAGTTCAAAATTTCATTGCGTTTAATGAGAAAGTAGCTCGGCAGTAGCAGCCCCTCTTCTTTCTGCTGCTCCGCCGCCGGAAGTTACCAGAGTGGGGTTGTGCCTATGGAAAGAAGATGCGAAAGATATGGCGATGAATGCAATATGTTTCTTAACGACATGGAAATTTATTTCCAATTCTCTCAATGGCGTATACTTCTTATCTCGTTTTGATATCCATTTATCGGGAATCCATTCGTAGCGAGCGCCGGATTCTGGATGCAGGATGGGCTCGCGAAATTTCTTTATCCTTCCCTAGAGAGCCATTTATCCCGTTACCGGACGGGCCACTCGTCAGGGCGTTTTGTGGGCTACTTTTGAATTCATAAATTTCAGTTTTCTGTACGAGTTTTACGGTCGGCTAAGAACAATGGTGGGAATTAGATGGATGAATACGTTATACTTGCTGTTATAAAATAATATCTTGGCAATTTGATGTTCTAAAATCGAATTTACATGAATCAATATGCGGATTACAAGTTGCAGATTGTAGGTAAAGGAAAATTAATGGCTTCTTATCCTTTGAGCTGTTAATATGTATTCTACTCTATTCTTATTGTATATGAAATTGATGAGAATCCGTTTGATGAATTATTAGAAACTTTTTTATATCTTTATTTTTATTTTATTTTTATTTTATTTAAATTAATGTATGCGTTAAGCTAAAAAGCAATTTTATATGCAACATATTTATATTAATTACAATATTGATATTGGCTTAAATTTTATACTAAAATGTATCTTTAATTTTTAATTTATCTTTGTGAGGTATTTATGTGCTGACGTAAAAAAGATACGTGAAAGATGTTACGGTTCATTTTATTTATAACGTATCGCGCATCTAGTTTGCACGCAAGACACATAAAAGCAAATCCATACTGTGCGGCGTCCTCTTGTCAAGATACGCGGCAAGCGTGGCTGCATTTTCATCTGTGCACGTGAAAAGGATTCCGGGCGAAAGCTCGTCCAGAGACGAGCCATACAGGTGCCTCGTGTACCGAAAGGAGGGAAAAGCCCAGAGTGGGAGGGACGAGCGCACGAAGCCCCGTAAATCGTGCTCTATGTAACGATCGGGCATAGTAATGAGGACAAATGAAGTGGCTGAATTATACGCGAATGTCCCTATGGGAAGCAGGTACCCGCTGCTCATGAGTTATTCATGGGAGTCTATCATAGCCACTCCATCCAGATTGCGAGATTAATCGAGCGCGCGCACTCCTTTGCTCGTCCACCTCGAGCGCTACCCCTTTACGTCTGAATGTCCCCCGATCTTCTTCGCACCTCGTCGGAACGGAGGCATCTCTGTTTCCTCAATCTTCCGTTCGACAAACGAGTTTCCGCATCGAATCACCGGATTGGTATCTCTGCATAAATAAATGTTGCATTGCATCGTGAATACATGATAACGTGATTATCTTGAAAAACATGAATAATATTTTAAAATATGAAAAATCAAGTCCTTCTTAACATAGAGTGTCAAGAGAAGAATCATTATTTTATAATTTTCCATGTATTAAAATTGAATGTCTCGACAGTGAAATTTCAGATTAATATATTATACAATTTTTAAAATATATAAAATGACACGATATGATATATAAAAAATATAAAATAAAAAGTAACATATGATATTTAATTATAAATATGTTAAATGTATTCTAGACTTTTAAATTCTAATGTTACGATTTTAGATATTTTATAAAATTTTTATAAAAAAGTCTTGCAAAATTGACTTAAATATAATAACATATCTTTGGATGTGCAAATAAATAAACTAATTGTTATTCAATCGCATATAAATTAACAAACTATTTGCAAATTGCTAATGTGAAAAGTATGACTTAATGAGTAGTCAGTCATGCATAAGGGTCAATTGCATCGAATGCAAATGCAACTCGGCGTTTGCTAATATCATTCTAATCGACCTCTTTATAAACTCGCATTCCGCGCTACTAGTTTACTCGCTATTAAATCACCTTGATTTAAACACTAATTCGGCTCTCATTCTCATTATGATTCAGCAATTATTCTCGTTTATTGTAACTCATAGCGATGATTATTAACGTAGTCACATTTTGATAAACTCAATTCAAGTTCTAGTTTTTGTCTTTTCTTTTTTTAAATCAAATATTTCTTACGCAAAAATAAGTAAACATTTTTATAAAAGCGATTTTAAATTAAAATAATTATTTAAAATAATTTTTGCTTTGTACATGTCTAGTGAATTGTATAAATGATCTTTTTCTATTTTCTTTCCTGATAGAAATTTAATAGAAGATAGTTATTAATTATTTTGAGAATTAAAATCACCATTGTTTAGTGCTTTCAGCAATCAAATTAAATAATTTCAATATTACATTGGCCAATATTACATTAGAGTAAGAATTTAATCGATAAATGTACCAATTTCAAAACCTTTTTATTTTTACTCTATGTTATCACTTATGCAATATTTGATATTAAAATCCTATGAATTATACCTCCATATTACTGCATCTACTTGACATATATTTCAATAAATCACCATTATAATGTATAATACTGATCATTTCTATCGCAATATCGGCACAAATCACTTTTTAACATTTATTTCTTCACTTAAAAATAAAAAGGTGAGAAAAGTCCGAAATGTACCATTGATCATAAAATTCTGCATTTCGAGCGAATGACTGCAATAACTCAATTTATTACGTACTGATCTACGTTCAATTTCTTCTATAGCATTCCAGGCGAAACATCCACCGTTGCGTCACGTTATTACCGCGGCTCAAACACATGCAATCTTCATGCCACGATCACGGTGAATTAACTTTTAACCATCCCTCGCGCGCACGCGCGCGCGACGCAATACGGTCCGTATTTATCACGCGCGCTTTTATTTTTTGTGCCCGGGATAGAAGTTTATCTGAGGTCCACGATCTACCTTGCCTCTCAGAGAAATACGGTAACGTCGTTACAATCGCAGAAAGAAACTTAGGGGTTCAGCGAACAATTTTCGATTCAATTGTAAATTCCGCGGTGACATAAAAGCGTGCCCGTAATTGCTGGTATCGCTTGAACCAATTAAAGCTTAAACTCATATAAAACCGTTAAAGCGAAGTTTCCCGTATCGTTCACAATACGGCACGTGTACGTGCAATATCGTTTGTATCGCAGAAACTGATTTACGTTGCTTTCAATTTTACACATTACCGTCACAAGAGCAAATTAAGAATTCAATGTAGTTTAATCACAATAACAACAAAAATTAATTTTATGTAAGGGATTTTTCAAAGATGTGTATCAGAGTTTATGTCAATGCATTCTGCATTTACTTGCGTTTCTAGATGCTGGTTGATGAATTTATCGAAGATAAGAATCTTTTGATAAACTTTGATACCGTAATGTGTTTTGAGCCAACGTAATAATTTTTCCTCTTGGATCCTGAGAAACTATACTTTACTCTCACCGGTGTACACGTAATTTGATCGACCTCACACCGCAATATGTCATTTCTTCCGGCACACGCTCCATTCCTACACCCTCCTGTTCGCGATCCTATATTCTTTCGGTCCTTTGGAGCAATATGATGTTTATCCGTTCGATAAGCGAGATTTTATTGCCCGTGTAAATCCAAGCTTTCATCGCAATCGATGTACGGCCACGGGCATTTAGATTTATTATCGCCAACAAAATTATAGCGAACAACGCTAATACTGGCCAGTCTTGTGCGAGAATACGTCACAGAAATCGAAAATACGTCGAGATTAATGTCGAAACTTAAGGGTAATGGTACGGTGACGAGACGGACGGTCCCGCTGAAGAAGCTTGAAATGCACTGTGACGTATAATTTTTCAAACTACAAGGGTAATCCGGCAACAAGTGAATATACGCTTGAAATTGAAGTCTGCGCTGCTTGGGAAATTCCCGGAGTCAGATCGATTTAGAGCTTGTTCAATCAGGAGGTAAAGCCTCTTTGCTGACGACCGAAAGTCCCCGCCAGGGCTGACGATATCGGCAATGTCGACAGTAGCATCGACGATAATGGTGGCGGGATGAAATGATTTGTCCTTGGCCATTATTGCTGCAGGAACTAGCAGTAGGCAGTCGACGGCAGGGGTTAAATCGAGTAAAAGCACCGTGAGAGAGCTCGGCAACGTGAAAGGGTTTCTCTCACGTACGCGGTACGTGTATGTCGATACTGCCTGTCGAACGGTAAAATAATAATGGAGAGAAGCGAAGGCGTAGAACGCGAGAAGCGATTTCTACAGAAGCTCGCGCTCGCCCCGTTTTTAGACATCGAATATTTTTCCAGGCGACATGGTTGGCCAGAAACATGATTGGCCGAGGCACAGTTTGATCGTCTCCAAGTCGCGTTTTATGATTGTCGAAAGATAATGAAATACTGCTGCGAAAATACTTGGATAAATTAGAAGAATCGAAGCATTTGTTCTGTATTCTTCGCACGTTTCTCTTCTGTGATCGTGAAAATTACTCTCGCAAGACTCCATCTACGCATCGAGACTTTAGGAATTCTCATCGGAAGGATGAAAGCGTAGATCGAGAGTAAATCCCATTGGTAAGTAAATGGTATACTCCGGTATATGATGAGAGGGATGCCGCATTATAATTTTAAAAAAGTGAATGCATGTGAACTAAGTAGATTAACAGAATAAAAAAATAAGAAAGTAATCGATAGGGGAATGCGCTTCGGTAAGTGCAAATCAATGAGAATTGCTATTATAAAAGCAAGCATTAAATATACGTCCCGAGATCGATATACATAGGTGGTCTAATGGGAGCACGCACGTTGGAACAAAAGGGAGGAAGAAATAGGAAGATGTAATTTAACGTTGTCTCGATGTTGGAACAGGGCGGTAGTGGCAGTGTATGTTCCCGAGACAAATTTCTCCGCTGCTTCTATCGATAATTCTTCCGCCGGAATGTGGATGTACCGGGAACCAGTCGCGCCGGAATAAAATATTACAAGACCGCGCAGTAAAGAAGATGTCGATTGCACGAAACCCGCGGCGTAAAATGTGGAAGCGGGACAGCTTAAGAGCAATGGCGACGCATTAATGTCGTTCCACTAAGCATTGGTTTCTCGCAAGAGTTTCTCGCAATGACATTTGCGTTATTCCCTGCACCAAGACAAGAACGTAGTTGAACCGAGACTGGACGGTGGCCAACGATTAAAAGTATCTATTCGTACGATTGTCTTTCTTTGATGTATAGAGGATATTCGTAGTTGCACTTTTCATCACCTATTGAAAGTCACAATGAAAAGAAAACCAATAATATTTTATTATTTAGTGCAGGGCTTTAGTGCTTTATTCCGCTTTTAGGATTATTTCTCAACTCTCATTTTAAGAGGATCGAGGTATAACGAGATTTCAAATTCAGATTTAGTTTTAGCAAACCATGAAATGTTAAATTATAAAATTGGAATAGGATTAAATTTTTTATTAAATAATCTTTTTTTAGTAGATATAAATCTGAATCAAAGAGTCAAAGAGTACATGTTAAAGAGTATATAATTGTGATAAAGCATTTATTTCGAGTTTATCGTAAAGTCGTTTAATCGTTCAATATATAAGGCACAATTTAAATAATGTATGATTGAATTTGTCAGTAATCGTGCGTTAAATGAGAGATCATGAATTTAATAAAGACGTGTCGGGAGTCGAGGGAATGACGTAGGCAAAGAACAGAGGGAGGTGAGATCTTTCGATATAGAGATCCATACTACACGAAAACCATTCCCCTTAGGATCTTGACATCAGAACGGTTCGGAGCATCAATTTTCCTTGACTCTATCGTGCGACTACGTTCGACGACCGTGCACAGCGTTTCCGGCTGTACCAACATCCGCCAGTTCCTGCAAGACATGTACAACGGACGGGAAAGGGATTGGGGAAGTTCTGTGCTTGGGCACTTTGAATACACTTTGCCTGGAACGACGTAGTCCCGTAGACAGATCGAATTCCTGTTCTCTCTCGTCTCTTTTCCTCCGTTACTTTTCTTTCGCAAATCCTAAAATATCCGTGTCGTTTTATCGTTTTTTTTTCAATGCGTGTCTTTTATTACCTGTTTATCGCATGCGTGTATCGATATAAAGATGCATATCTATATACACTAAGCGAAATAGAGAAATTTTAAAAAGGGGACTACAGGAAAAGAAAGTTTCATCCCGCTATGGAAATATATTACATAAACTGACGAAAATAAAGGAAGATTCTTTTGTAAAGATAAAACTTTACATGTGAAGATATTGTGTACGTTCAAAAGACAGCGTCAAACGCTTTTGTCAAGCTTCCTCTGTCGGAATTCAATTAAACGCTTTTACATCAAGTTCCAGAAATGGTTACGGATTGTGTATATAAC